GAGGTATGTTTACTGCCATCTCTGGGAATCAGTGGGTCTCTGCCTCCATTCTGCAGTGTGTAGCCCAGAAAACTTTTTTTTTCTTTTATTGTCTGCACTAGCAAAGCTAAATCCACCATGCAGTGTGCTTCTCAGTTTGGAGACACCTCTGTGTACTGTGGTAGGAATCTGCCATACTGTAGGTCAAGCCCATAAGCCATGAACCCGCCACACTGAAGCTGTGGGGTCTGTGTATCACAACTTGCCTGAGAGACACAACTAGGAAGCATGATTTTAGCTGCATTTTTTTTTTGAAGCTTTCTCAGGTTTTGGGTGGAAATTCTTGCTACCATGTCTGGGTGCCAAATGTAGCCGGAAGTTTCTTGGTCCTGCCCAGCCCTGCAGTCCCGCTGCTGCTTATAAAATGATTACACAGAGGCTTGTATTAATTACAAACTGTATGGCCTGTGGCTTCAGCTTCTTGCTAACTAGCTCTTTCATCTTAAATCAACCCATTCCTATTAATCTATATGCTGCCACATAGCTGTGGCGTTACCAGTCTGCTGGCATCTTGTTGCTCCTTGGGCGGCGGCTGGCGTCTCTCCCCACTCCACTGTTCTTCTCTCTGTCGCTCTGCTTGGATTTCCTGCCTGGCTGTAAGCTTTCTTGCTATAAGCCAAAACAGCTTTATTTATTATCCAATGGGAGCCACACATATTCACAGTATACAGAAAGATATCCCACAGCAGGCTGGCCTCCAACTCACAAAGATTTGCTTAGTTCTGCTTCCCATGTGCTGGATTAAAGGTGTGCCCCAGTCACTTAAAGATCCTTTTCTCTCTGCCCCTCTCACCTATGGGGTCTAAGATAAAACTGGGAAAAATATTGGGGATATATATAATTTTAACCATTATAAACATACAGTTCTATGGCTTTAAGTACACTTATATTTCACAACTATCACCATCTATTTTATCTACTTTCTTATTGCTGTGAAGAGATGCCACGACCAAGGTGACATATAAAAGAAAACATTTAATTGGGGCCTTACTTACAGTTTCAGAGGGGGATTCTGTGACCACCATGGTGGAGAGCAAGGCACCAGGCAGGCAGACATGGCGCAGTAGCTCAGAACTCACATCCTATCCACAAGCCTGAGGCAGAGAGAGACTGGGCCTGGCCTGGGCTTCTTGGAATCTCAAAGCTCACCCCCAGTAACACACCTCCTACAAGGCCGCATCTCCTAATCTTCCTGAACAGTTTCTTCAACTAGAGACCAGGCATTCAAACATGGGGCCATTCTCATTTATTTTACCAACCGGAATGCCACTTCCATTAAACAGTTAAAAAACAAACAAACAAACAAACAAACAAACAAACAAACAAAACACACCTTTATTCCCAGCTCCTAATGACCAGATTTGCTCTCTCTCCATGAAGATACTCTTGGCACCTCATCTAGGTGACATTTGAGAGGATTGTCTTTTTTTGGGCTTCCTGCTTCCCTTCATGCTCCTTCAGGATGGGAACAGACCAGGATTTCCGTCCTGCTCACTGAGCAGTGTCCGGTTGCACGCCTGAGCTGCACTTTGTTTTTCCCTTTGTCCACTGATGGTCACGTGGATCGCTTCCATCCTCACCTGTAGAGAATGGTGCCGAGCTCGGGGCATGGAGCAACCCGTGTCCTGCTTTCAGTTTCGAGTATGCACACAGATGCGAGTTGCCAGCTTGGCTTCTCACTTCATGCTTAGCATTTTAAAGCTCCGCTGGTCTGTTTTTTGTACCACTTTATATTCCCATGGTTACTGACATTTTTCTTCAACTTTCAGACATACTACTCCCCACACTTGCCCCCAGTCTTGTGATTATCCATCAAAGAAATAATCTAGGTTCATTTTTACCTGAAATTTAGGCACAAATGGAAGATTACGAGTGTTGGGGGTTGGATTTGGCAGAAAGAGTGGGCATTGCTAATGTTTCTATGAGCAAGTTCTCCAGGTGCTTTCAGAGGGCAATCTCCAGCTCTTCAGGTTTGGGGTGCACATATTTCATGTTTTCTGTAGTTATAAACGTGAGGCAGAAACTCTTCAGTTCTTTTCATATGATCTCTTCTGTTTTTCCATGCTCATCACTTCTAAAAGAATTTTTAAAGATTTATGTATTTTTATTTTATATGTATGCATGTTTTGTCTGTATGTATGTATGTGCACCATGTGCGTGCTCAGTGCCCACAGAGACCAAAAGAATGTGTGAGATCCTCAGAACTGGAGTTACAGACGGTCGTGAGGCACTGTGTGGGTTCTGGGAACCAAGCCTGGGTCTTCTGCAGTAGCAGTCAGTGCTCTTAACCTCTGAGCCATTTCTCCAGCCCCAGACATTTATTTGTTTTCTTGCTTGTTTGTTTGTTTATTTATTTAGTGTGTGTGTGTGGTGTGTGTGTGTGTGTGTGTGTGTGTGTGTGTGTGGTGTGTGTGTATGTGTGTGTGTGGGGGGGGTGTGTGTGTGTGTATGTGTGTGTGTGTGTATGTGTGGGGTGTGTGTGTGTGTGTGTGTGTGTGGTGTGTGTGTGTGGTGTGTGTGTACATGTGTGTGTGTGTGGTGTGTGTGGTGTGTGTGTGTGTGTGGTGTGTGTGGTGTGTGTGTGTGTGTGTGTGTGGTGTGTGTGTGTGTGGTGTGTGTGTGTGGTGTGTGTGGTGTGTGTGTGTGTGGTGTGTGTGTGTGTGTGTGGTGTGTGTGTGGTGTGTGTATGTATGTGTGTGTGTGGTGTGTGTGTGTGTGTGTGTGTGTGGTGTGTGTGTGTGTGTGTGGTGTGTGTATGTATGTGTGTGTGTGTGGTGTGTGTGTGTGTGTGTGGTGTGTGTGGTGTGTGTGTGTGTGTGTGTGTGTGGTGTGTGCATGTATGTGTGTGTGTGTGTGTGGTGTGTGTGTGGTGTGTGTATGTATGTGTGTGTGTGTGGTGTATGTGTGTGGTGTGTGTGGGGTGTGGTGTGTGTGGTGTGTGTGTGTGTGTGTGGGGTCTGTGTGTGTGGGGGTGTGTGTGTGTGTGGTGTGTGTGTGTGGGGTGTGTGTGTGTGTGTGTGTGTGTGGTGTGTGTGTGTGTGTGTGTGGTGTGTGTGTGGTGTGTGTGTGTATGTGTGTGTGTGTGTGTGTGTGGTGTGTGTGTGTGTGGTGTGTGTGTGTGTGGTGTGTGTGTGTGTGGTGTGTGTGTGTGTGTGGGGTGTGTGTGTGTGTGGGTGTGTGTGTGTGTGTGGTGTGGTGTGTGTGTGTGTGTGTGTGGTGTGTGTGTGGTGTGTGTGTGTGTGGTGTGTGTGTGGTGTGTGTGTGTGTGTGTGTGTGGTGTGTGTGGTGTGTGTGTGTGTGTGTGTGTGTGTGTGTGTGTGTGTGTGTGGTGTGTGTGTGTGTGGTGTGTGTGTGTGTGGGGTGTGTGTGTGTGTGTGTGGTGTGTGGTGTGTGTGTGTGTGTGTGTGTGGTGTGTGTGTGTGTGTGTGTGGTGTGTGTGTGTGTGTGTGTGTGGTATGTGGTGTGTGTGTGTGTGTGTGTGGTGTGTGTGTGTGTGTGTGTGTGTGTGTGTGTGGTGTGTGTGTACATGTGTGTGTGTGTGTGTGGTGTGTGTGTGTTTGGTGTGTGTGTGTGTGGTGTGTGGTGTGTGTGTGTGTGTGTGTGTGTGGTGTGTGTGTGTGTGTGTGTGTGTGTGGTGTGTGTGTACATGTGTGTGTGTGTGTGTACATATGCATGCCATGGCTCACATGTGGAGGTCAGGGGACAGCTTGCAGCAGTTGCTTTCCCCTTCCGCCGTGTGGATCCCAGGGATTGAACTCGGATCCTTCGTGGCAGGTGCTCTTACCTGCTGAGCCATCTTGCCTGCCCCTCCGAAGCTTCCTAAATGGAATACTTTCCCTTTTCAACACATGTAAGTTTCCTGCTGTGAGAGGCAAACTCTTGGCCCCCATGATATTTAGTGTGGGCTTGTGTCACCAGGGTCACCACATGCTCATCATCCCTGGGAGAGGTAGAAAAGCACTCTGGGAAAATCAACAGTGCCAAAGCACTGTTCGGAAAAGGAACTATCCAGTGAAGCTACCCACCCTGAGGGCATCAGGGGCCAGTGGGAGTGGCTGGCAGGAAGTCTGCATGACTATGTGAGATTCAATGTGGCTAGAGTTAAGCAGGCAAGGCTTCCCTCACTGCCTGAGGCTGTGCCTTTTCACTTCTCCAAACAGCAGTGGCCTCTGACCTCGACTTCCCCGCGGGTCCTTGCTGCCCTTTGCCCAGTCACATGCGGGTGCGATGAGGCAATCAGAACAGGCCCACCAGTGACTGTTCTAGTGGGTGAGTCTTCTGGAGACAGCCATTGGATGTGCTAGAGGTTTTCTCTGAGATCACTAAGTGGAGCAAAAACCTGTCTATAATTGAATTACTAAGTAAGTGTGTACCTCAGAGTTTCTAGCTAGTATGGGAATGGTTGTTTCTACATTGATTCCATTGTGTGTGCGTGTGGGGGCGGGTGTTGCCTTCCTATATTATCCTTTACAACAAAGCATATGCTGTTAGATGCTTCTGCAGGGTAAGCTCACGTACCATCAGGAATACCCTATAGTGTGTCAGGATGTTGGCAACGACCTTTTATCGTTGTTTGAATTAGCTTTGTCTTGTCCTTTCATGAGCACTTTGTGTGTGTCCAGTGTTCCTGTTTAGTGAGTAAACCAGAACCAAATAGCCTTTCCTCCCCTCCTTCCTTCCTTTTTTAATTTAAAAGAAAAAAAAAACAAAAACATTTTTTTTTCCATTTTTGAGACAGCATCCCACTCTGTAGCTCAAGCTCGCCTCCAATTCAGGATAGTGGTCCCGCCTCTACAGGGATGTTAGCCGTGGGCCGGTCCAAAGAGCTTTTCTATGAAAAACCAATAGAAACAACCCTTCAGCTGGAGTACTCACAAGACTTTATTTTTTAGAAAATCGTGCTTCACTGCAGTAGATAACAATATTGTTTTCCCACACATGGGAGTTTAAAAATACATCTGTGTAACATTAACCTGTAATGTAATCATCAAGTTCAGGTGCTTCTGCTGTCTCTTCACCTGCTGCAACGCACAGGCAGCCCTACAGTTCCGTCTTCAGCAGCTTGAGAGCTTTCTTCATGTTGTCCAGCACTGGTGGGAGAAACATTAGGACAGCCAAGTTACCATCAGAAATGACGAGGTTTGAACAAGCATGGCCCCTGTCGGCTCAGAGATTGGGATGCTTGGTCCCTAGCGGGTGGAACTGTCTGGGAAGGATTAGGAGGTGTGGCCTTGTTGGAGGTTTATCATCGGGGGCAGGTGGGCTTTGAGTTTCAAAAGCCCAGGCCAAGCCCATTCTCTCTCTCTGACTCCTGCTTACAAATTGGATGTGAGCTCTCAGCAAGTGCTCCAGCACCATGCCTACCTGCCTGCGACACTAAGCAAGTCCCCTCTAGAGTGAGCTGCCTTGGTCACGGTGCCTCTTTACAGTAATAGAAAAGTGACTAAGACAGACACCAGTGACACCATGAGCCCTGGCATTGGGGGCTGGATCCATGGTTTGACAGAGTGTCCTATAGTCCCAGGGTGAACAGTTGCTAATTCCACTGTTGTTTCTGTAGTCAAGTGCAGTGGATTTTGTTGACAATGCAGTTCTCAGTCCTTCCTTGGCAACCCCTCCTCCAGCTTTGTCGTCCCAGAGCTCCACGAGCTGTCAGCAGCAAACTATTTTGGCTAATGTAGAAGCAATTTTAATTTTCATTTAATTAATTAACTTATTGGGACAGAGGCATACATGTCCTTCTGGCTGGTATGGAACTTTCTATATAGAATAGGATGGCCGTGAACTCACAGAGATCATCTACCTTTGAGTACTGGGATTAAAGGCGTGGCCCACCACACCTGGTTTAGAAGCAGATTTTCAATCGTGTTTATGAGAAATATTATCAGGTGTGTGCAGCTTCTGAAAGTTATTTTAGAAGCCTGAGGACGGTCAGCCCACCAAGGGTTTTTGTACAGATGAATTCGTTCATCCCCACAAAAACTTTGTACTCGTTTCTTATCAGTGGGACAGGCTCAGAGAAGCTGAGTTATTTACTAAAGTCACACAGCTGACAAGTGCCAAAACTACGTTCCGGAGCCCAAACTTGAGACCATCCTCAGCAGCAGCAGCAGCAGCAGCAACTGGTGAAATGCAGTGAGGCGTCTGGATGGTGTTCTGAGCGGCTGCTCTTCCCTTCTACAAGTAATTATTAAACAGCGAAGGCCTGGTGATCTTCCCTGTTCGGGTATCTGCCCTTAACGCGATCCACCTTGGGAAGACGTACCCTGAATCTCACGAATGCCCACGCTTGGAACATGCTGACCTTTTCCCCAATGCTCTCCCTGGAGACATTGCTAATGGGCCGTGGGAGTGCTCATGTTCACTAGGTCCAGGCTTTCCTCCCCAGTGTAACTACTAGTCTAAGTCTGTACTGTCTAACAAAGTTCTGTGTGGAGGAACAAATCCCCAGTGTGCCTACTAAATGTGGCTGGTGCGACTTCAAAACCGAGGCTGTCGTCTCATTAACATTAATTTAAAATTAAATAGCGCATATGGGTATTGGCTAAGGTTGGGATAGGGAGGTTCTAGGAGCCACTGCAAGTGACGAGGACTGATCCCAGGACAAAATAATTTCTCCCCAGAAGAACCAGTCGGGTGTCACTGCTGGTGTTTCCTCCCATCGGCGGCCTCATCTGCCTTAAATCAGTCCCTTTCCCTCTCCCTCCCCGTCATATCCGGCACTGAGAAAGTGAGTAAGCCAGTCTCAGGATCATTTGCACATGATGATCTCAAGTTGAACCTGAGTTTAACCACAGCAAAATGGACTAAATTATTTCCCTTCTCATTATTTGGGGGAAATGGAAGCCAGCCTGTTGTGACTTCAGCTCTGTGACAGAGGGTTTGTGTGCTGTTGTGCAGGGGGAAAAGCTGGGCATGTGTTGATTAAGAGTCTCCTGGCACAGCCGGGCGGTGGTGGCGCACGCCTTTAATCCCAGCACTCGGGAGGCAGAGCCAGGCGGATCTCTGTGAGTTCGAGGCCAGCCTGGGCTACCAAGTGAGTCCCAGGAAAGGCGCAAAGCTACACAGAGAAACCCTGTCTCGAAAAACCAAAAAAAAAAAAAAAAAAAAAAAAAAAGAGTCTCCTGGAGGAGCCGACCGATACCTCAACTGAACGGTTTATCCTTCCTTGAGATGCTTCCAAAGTGGGCGATGGAGTGAAGCATGTGATTTGCCAATGGGCAAAAAGTTAGTCTGGGTCTGGCTGATTCTCGGGCACCCCTGGGCAGAGGCCTAGCCCGCCTCTGCCTCCCCAGGGGCCTCTCCCCATCGCTATAGAACACGGATCTCCGACTAAGCGGGCGGCAACACTTACACAGGGCTGTGTCGGAAGGTTCATAGGCGTAGAGACGGTTTGAGTATCTTCCGGTGATGTCTGCCCTCACGGTCAGGGATGGGTCTGCAAAGACAGAGAACAAGGATGGAACACCTTTGCCTCCAGGGAGCCTCCAGTGTGTGTTGAAGCTGTTGTGTCCGTGCCCCGTGGAGGAAACTGTCCGGCAGTGTGGCCCTCCGCCTGTCTTCCGCTACCCGGCCCAGGAGTTCTCACCCGAGCAGTGTGGGGCAAAGGAAGGAACATTCAACAGCGGCGCAGTGCCGCTCTGGAAAAGGTTTTGAACCCTGCCATCCTATCTAAGCGCCCCGAAAATCGGACAGGGCATATTTTGTGGGGTTTCTTTGTGAAAGCGCAGTATTCGTTGCAACAGAAATACCGTGAGATTTGTAAGCGATGTTGTTGCTTCTGATCGGTATCCCTAAGAACAGCCTCGGTAATTGGATACTTCTAATGCTGGTATTTGGTTATGATTATCTTCCATTGAGGGGTTTGAAAGTGAGAGATGGAATGAAGCAGGTGGTTTGCCGGGGAGGGAAGGGGCTAACCTGGGTCAGATATTCTCTCTCATTGTTTGTTTATTTTCAGTATTATTTTTTGTTTGCTTGTTTGCTTTGGACAGAGTCTCATTCAGTAGCCCAGGCTATGTACATGAGGTTGACCCCAAATTCATTACAAGTTTCCTGCCTCAGCCTCCTAAGTGATGGAATTTTCGATCTGAGCCACCATGCCCAGTTTATACAATGAAACCCAGAGCTGGGTGCATCCTGGATAAGCACTCTGCTAATTGAACTATATCCCCAATCTTCTTTCTTTCTTTAAACAAAACAATGCAAGTCCCTAAGCACAGCAGGGTCAGATAACTACACAAAGTACCTTCCACTTTTATTTTTTAATACTTTGTGGTTAATCAGTTGCATTTAAAAAATAGAGATTTACGAATCCCCCCCCCCCTTTTTATCTCTCATTAAATATCCCTCTAGGTTTAAATCCATTGATCAAGCTGAACAAAGTGGTGTATGCCAGTAATCTCGGCACTTGGAGCTGGGAGTAAGACGATCAGGGGTTCAAGGTTGTTCTTGGCCACATAGAGAGTTTGGGGCTAGCCTGCACTACATGAAACTATCTCAAAAAGCAAAAGACAACAACGAAACCCCCAAACAAATACATTCATTCTGTCATATTTTTATGTAAGTTGAAATTATATAATTAATGAGAAAAGGATACTGTAAAGGTATGGCACATCCAGAAGAACAGTACGGGAGTATGGAGAGGTATAGACACTTTTGTTTTGGAAGGAGTGACTGAGGGGAGGGGTGGGACTTGATGGGAGAGCATTTGCCAAGTGCGCACAAGGCCCTGAGCTGGACTCCTAAAACTGGAGGGGGCGGGCAATGAGATGAATGTCCTCAAATGGGGAAGATGACATGTGAGAACCAGCTGGATGTCTGCACTCTGTCACTTCCTGGAGGGGACTGTCTTCGTCACTTCAGAATGTTGGGCCAGAACCAACAGACAATGAATTACCAGAAGCAGAGATTCATTTGTTCAATAGACTTAGCAATGATGCCTCCACATGAGAGGACACAAAGACCCAGTTAACTTTCCTAGTAAATTAACACAGGGCCTTTATACATATGCTGGTGCACTCAGACTACCTGGAGGCTCTCAAAAACTGTGACTTCCTTCATCACACCCCTAGAGAACCTAATCACTGGTTTGTGACACAGCCAGGCAGCTGTGTTTTTCAAACCTTCATGGGATTCTAACCCTCAGCCAGCATGGAGAACCAGTGAGCTTCACAAGTTAGTGCATCGGGATTTGTACTATGGCTGAAGGCAGAAATGCGGTGAATATGCTCAGGAGTTTCAGAAAAGTCCCGTCTGAGGCAGAGCTAGACAACCCCAGACTGCACCAGTGTTCAGACTCCTCCACAAGTGAGCGCTCTAGTTCAGCCCTTCTCCTTTCCCCTATCACTGGCTGACTTTCACTTTTAATGCAAGCTTTGGTGGCTTATCCAGATTGCCCACTCGATGAGCTCTGCTAGGCAGTGGCCTTAATTACAGTTTAAGTGACTATGACTGGTTAAAGCCAAACCTCATTTATTTATTAAGCCATTCAACAAACACTGAGAGCCTATCACAGGATCACACTGGGCTTGTATGGTGGCCAGAAACCTGTAGCTCTGCTATGTTAATACAGCATCCTCCAATAAAGACAAAGTAAAAGCTGAGTAACTGATAGCCAATGAGGAAAACATGGCCCTGCCTTCACAGATGTGCTTGGAGCAGAAGGTGGGAAGTAAAATGAGCAGAGGAGGAAAGAAGTCATTTGGGGAAATAGTACTTTACACTTTCAGATGAAAGTGTATTGCGAGACTTAGCATTATCCTGCCCAGAATGCCAGGCCCCTTGTTAGAGGTCAGTGACCTTGCTCGTAGTGAAGTGGCCGTTGGGGTTGGGGACATAGATGGGGAAGTGTGATGTTGGGGGATACAGGATATGGCTGCAGCTGCATAATCTCCAGTGTGTCTCATGTCACTGGAACCCCCACTTACCCACAAACAGAATTCTGGGCACATACTGGCCGTCAGGAGAAAGGTGCTTGTCTGTCGTTTCGTACTGAGATCACAAAACAAAACAAAACAAAAAGCTGTTTGTTTATTCTTTAGGTATTTTTAAACCTGCCAATGCAAAAATGTGTCTGTTAAATCTTCCTGGAACTAGAAAGGGCACTATGAGCAGTGAAATACAATTATTATGAGAGGGCTGGGGTTGGAAAAGGTTATAGACTATACAAACAGAAGGAGAGCTTTAGGGAGGAGCAAAGAGACTACTGGGGTGGAGGCAGCAAAAGCAGAGTGCACATGAAAACGCCACGGTGGAGGAGTCCATTACTTTGTCATATCAAAAATGCCACAGTGGAGGAGTCCATTAGTTTCCAGACTCATTTAAAAACTAACCAGAAAAGAGAATGTGTCTTGTACTGTGCCGTGGGCCTGAGGCACTGCCAGGGAGTCTCTTCTGCAGAGAGTTCACAGCACAGACGAGAAGACAAGCATCATAGAGTGGAAGGACCAGAGAGTGATACAGGACAGGAGGAAGTAGCTAACGATGTGATACTCAAAGAACAGAACAACTCAAGGGGGAAGACTCCGGGTAGCTGTGACTGGATGGGTAGGAGACCATTGTCCCAGAGTAGAAAACATGGAGGGCTGGCGATGAGGAAGTGGAGACAGGAGGTATGAAGCTGAAGTCCAGGACATATGGGCAGATCTACACAGCCGGAGCTCTCTCCCATGGAGAGAAAGAAGTGACAGGGACCTGTGAGCCAGGACTGGAGGGAGATGGGCAAAGGCAGTGATGTGCAAAACACAAAAATCGGTTACTATAGCAACACAGAGATCATTACAACGTGAGTGTGCCACATAAATTGCTAAGAAAGAGGCAGAGGATGTGGCCCAGTGGTAGAATATTCCTTGGCATGTGTCAGGTGCTGGCCTCAATACCAGCAATGCAAAATTTTCAAAAAAAAGGTTACTAATAAAGTAAAAGGTTTTTGGTTTCTCATCTGTGAGATGGATACTTGGAGAAGATTTTAGTTAATGCAGCATGCCTGAGATGCACAGAAGTGAATCAGACGTGGCACGCAGAGGAGATGTGGGCACCGTGAGGGGAGACTCACCACCAGGTTGAGGAGAATGAACTGCTCTGCCAGCTTCTGGATTTCCTTGCTGTCAGCAAACACTTTCTTTAAAGCTGTGATACAGGAAGAAAGTCATGGAGCATTTATCTCAGTTTTGGTTAGAACCCTTATTTTCTGATGTCTTTTAAGATGAATAGTGAATGCAATACCCACGTTTGCCCCTCCAGCAAATGTTATTGAATAACTACTTTGTAGCTGACATGATTTTATAGACTAGGAAAAGTATCTTGAATAGAAAAGCACACAGAACTTCCAGACTCCAGATGCTTATGTAGGCATTGCAGCATAAACCAGTGTATACTATATATGTAATTCCATGTAGAGGTACATCCATAGGGGAATTAAAGTGAAGCAAAGGCTTGAGGAGCTATTAATTTTTCATGGCAGATCTCTTTTAAGAGGTGCTGCTGAGGTCAGAGAGTGAGTGGTTAATCCGGGGGCAGATTGCCCAGACTATTGGGGAGAGGTCGCTGCGGGCAGAGAGGGCTGTGAAAGTAACAACCTTGGTTAATAGGGATGAGCTGCATGAAGGCAGGCTGGGTAGACCGGGAACAAGGGGCCATGACAGGAAAAGAGAACCATGCGCTGGCCAGATGGGGTCCAGCCTTGAAGGCCATGGCCAGGTGTCGGGGTTTAATTTTACTTGTCACGAGAAGCCACTGGTGCACATGAGTGAAGGATCTGATTGGTGGTGAACAGCTTCAGTCTGGCTTCCGTGTAGAGGGCCGACTGGTGTGTTGAGAGGTGACAGTTATAGTATCGTGGACACGGTGTGATGGTGGCTTGCACTAAGGTGGTAGCATCGAGGTAACAGGAGGTGGTTGGGTTTGGGCAAGAGGGGCTGCCTAATACACAGAGAGCAGCAGGAAATGAAAACACAGAGCCCTTGAGCTAGAATTACTAAGCGTTGACAGCAATGGGTTTACTACACCAAACGTGGGGAGCCCATGCAACCATGCGGGGTTCATGTCCGTGAAGCTAGTACTGACTGGACATGTTTTAACAGAAATCCAGTGGTATTTGCTGATGTGTCGGATGGAAAAAGGTGGGAGGAGCATGAACCCCAGTATTTCTTACTCAAAATATGCACCAATAATTAATTCAAAACATGGAAACATTCACACATTTCTTTTTAAATGTTTAAAAATATTCTTTCCTGTTCAAGAGTGCTAGGTTCTAGGAATGTATAGATGAGTACTTCAAACCCTGACCCCATGTAGAAGTCTCTAAAAGAAATTTAGAAGAACGGATTACCTTGACTGTGTGGACACTCGTCCAAGTGATGGATGATCATCAAGGGTCTGTTGCTGTGAGAGAGGCAGGAGAATGGGTGTTTAATAGGGTGCCACGAACAACTGATAGTCATCACTAGATGGCGCTCGTGAGCGACACGAACAACTGATAGTCATCACTAGATGGCGCTCGTGAGCGACACGAACAACTGATAGTCATCACTAGATGGCGCTCGTGAGCGACTCGCGGGAGCTCCATGTAACCGGTGGCCTTACCTAGTCTTGGATTTGTATAAGGCTTCTTCATAAGTCTGAGTCCAGATGAGTTGATCGCCCCAACCTAGAACAAGAGGAGTTGGTATCTTTACATCCATCACAGTTTCAGGCTCAAACCTGCTGAAAAGTAATGGTAAAGACCTGGATAATATGGACTTAGTAAAAGAACAAAAGTCTTGGAGCAGGGAGACCTCTTTACTAACTATGCTAAATCTAGGAAACAAAAATCCCCAAATATCTTCAGCATACACATTTAATATGAAGAGTCAGGGAGTCCTTATGAATTAAGTTGCAGCTGGGAGCCAACAAAGAGTTGACTTCTACCTCTGGAGAGGGTCTGGGGCAGTTTGGGCCGAGAGTCCTTTGGGTCCTTTTTGGCTCCTGGTTTGACGGTGGTGTCTTTGGCCAGAGTATAGGAGAGGGCCACAAGGAGCAGGAACGCTGACACTGAGATTTTCTCCATGGCAAATCTACACGGGAAATAAACAGAAAGGGATTAGAATCTCCAGAGTGCATCACCACAGTGGAGAGCTGCGGGAACCAGGTTACACTGAGCTAAGACACGAGACAGGAACGGAAGGCTGCCTTCCACACGATGAGGAGTTTCCCGGGAACACTTCCTGTGGGGTCTACCCATCTATGGCCCATCTGCCATCACCATCTCCACTTCCCCTACCAGTGGATATATAATCTTTGTTGTATCTTATCTTGCAATAGAACAATAAATATATTTTAAGGAAATATCTAACTAGGTAGATGTATATACTCTGCTGCTAAGGAAATGCACATTTAAAAGATATACTAAAAAAGCATAGTACTGGTAGGTAATTTGGGGGTACCTCTTTCCCCCCTTCCCTGATTTCTCGCTATGTAGATGAAGACTCTACAGTTCAGAGAGATGAAAAGATTTGGGGGATGAGTTCAGAGAAGAGGTGCTGACTTCCATCTCCCCTCCCTGAGACAGTCACCTGAAACAGACATCTTTACCCTTACAAGATGGACACATTGCCCTTGAAGAATGGATATGAATAGCATGGTCACATTCTTACTGCATTTAGGGCGTGTGAGCTTCGCCTTAGGGCTGGAAACTCATTCCATTTCCCTACTGGAGGATCTGCTCAAATGGTGTTAGCTATGGACTGACTGAGACACATAAAATGGACGTTCTTTGCCCTTGTCTGGGCCTGTGTGGCAGGGGAGGGCTTCCACTCCAGTGCACAGATGTGTGCGGTGATGTATGTGACAGAGAGAACAAACCCAGGCTGTTTCTTTGTTAAATTCGCTTTGCTCCCCCTCTGGTATTTGACAGTTAATTGAGGAAAGCTGCAGCAGGTGATCAGGAATAGGGCTATAAATGACAAGACCTGTGTGTGTGTGTGTGTGTGTGTGTGTGTGTGTGTGTGTGTGTGTGTGTGTGTGTGTGTATGTGTGTGTGTGTGTGTGTGTGTGTGTGGAAAGGAAGGCCAAGTTGGTCGTGTTTCATGTCACCCGAAGTACCTATGGGCCATACCACGGGCTGCTGCAGACTTCAAATCTGGTAAAGCCAAATGCTAAGGCTGCCCAGAAAGCAGAAAGAACCACACTGTCCATCTCTAGTACTGGTGTAGTTCTGGATTAAGTCGATCTACAAAGGAAGCAGGGTAGATAGATCATCCTGGTTTAAGAGCTTTGAAGAGGGAAGGTCCTCATAATCTGTGAGCTTGAATGGGAACCTTTGCTAGACATGAGATGATTAAAAAGAAGTCACTTAGTTACCAACCCAAATGAAGGCTTAAATTGAACTGGCCAACTGTCATCCAAGTCATAGTGCACAGCCACACAGCGGCTCAGAAAAGACACAAGGTAAAGCAGTAACAACGTTATACATTTCTCCATTCATAGGCATGCAGGAATGCTAATAATGATTTGCATCTTCTGAAATTCTGCAATAGCAACTTAAGCATACTATAAGCTAGCAATACCTAGCAGCTCTCTTAGTGTCATGACTTCTGTTTAATATTTAAAATTGGATGAGGTGCCTCATGAGAGAATTATTATATTTCTGGGATACAAGCTGGTTCAGAAGTATGGATTAACTTCTTTGACTTTATCAACAAATATTTGAATATATTATTTGTGTAAGCACTCACAGATATCGAAAATATAAAAGTAAATTGGTGGCAAAGTTCTGTATTTAGTCCGTTGTCAATTCCTGCTATAAACATGGCTCTTGGGACTCCTTGCTATAGCTCTACAGATTATGGGCTGTAACTATTGATATATGTGTTTTATGGCAGGATGCATCAAGGAAGGCTAATATAATACTGCTGTACAAACATCCCGCTCTGAAATGACTTTCTGGGATTCAGTACTGAGTCTTCATGATGAGAACAGTCTGTCTGCAAACATTCTACTCTACAAACATCTTCGTAAACCCCTCAAAGCCCACAGCGCCCATGCTCAAAGGCATTATTGCAGGACTGATCATTTGCAGGCCCTCTCCACCCCCAGGCCGCTGATCCTCTGGAAGTAGTGCATTTTACTGTCATCCCTCCCCATCTTGTGTTAATGAAGGTCCTTGCTGGAGGTTTCAGTGACTCTTGCTGGTGCTTCAGAAAGTACCCAAGCCCCCTCTCTGACAGTCCTAAAAACTGCAGAAGCATAAAGCAAACTGTTTCCTGATTTGCAATAAGATATTCCCCGGGGGCAGTCTGAGCTGAGTTTTCACAGTGGAGGAGCCTGTGGCCTTTGGGAGAGAAGCGGGGGCTGACACAGGATTTCCTGCACCCTAACCCAGGTTTGAAAACTCTTGAGTTCATCCACCCACTCACAAACCTCCAGTTTCCTGAGGAGGAAAGCGTCACACTGCACCTAGGCAGGAACACGATACTCCGCTACTTTTAGCCAAAGAAAGGCCCCAGCAAGCTTCTGCAGGTTGGCTGACACTCTTTCCAGAGTCTGCTTCCTGCCCTGGGAACGTTGCTTTCATCTTGTCAGTTGACCCAGTTGACCGTCTGCACCTATGCGCAGCAGTGGAGGCCGGAGCTTAGCTCTGGCAAGTCCACCGAAAGCCACTGTCAGTTGACTTACCTGAGCTCCCCACCCTCCTGCTTTGTGTGAAGCTGCCCAGGTTGTAGTCCAAGCTTCTGAATGTGCCAGCAGAGCCCTGAGCCTCTATTTATGGGCAGAGCACACCCCAATCCCACCCACTAATCCTGTTTCCTCAAGCTGCTAACTCAGAAGCAAACTTTCCTTCTCCCAAGCAATTGTCTTTTCTGAGTTACAAAGTTCCTATGATTTAAAAGCAATCCTAGCAAAAGCTTTTTTTTACTTTCCTTTCCTACTTTTTTCTTTCTTCTTTTTTTTGTAAGTGTACTTTTGGTGAAAGTATTCTTGTCAGTAGTTTTGGAAAAGCTGGGCAGTGTGCCAAATCCAGGTAAGCTTTAAATGAAGACGTTTGATTGGGCTGAAGGTTGATTTGTCTGTTTGTGATTGGATGGAAGTTGTGGTTTATAGATATTCATTTCCTCCCTCCTGGGAAGATTGCATTTATTTAGCTTAAAAAAAAAAGTGATGATTCACAATTCTAACCCTTCTTTTAATCAAATAACTGGCCCTGCTCGATTACCATACCCATGATTTTCCACAATATACTTCTTCTCTTAAAAAAAGCATGCTTTAACTACAGGTGTGAGAAACACAAGTCATCTACTCATGGACTAGTTCAAATTTGGAGAGGTTATTGAAGAGAAAAAGGATAGGCTAATACTGTGAGCTAATAATTGGCCTGCTGATGAGTGTGTGTGTGTGTGTGTGTGTGTGTGTGTGTGTGTGTGTGTGTGTACAGCAAGTTTCCTCAAAAGAATTTAAAGATACTCCAGAGATACTTTTTATTTAGTGGTAAACTTTCCTGTGAGGCAGACAAACAGGAAGCCACTTACCTCACTTTTCATACAAATGTCTGGAATCCACCCCCTACTCGGTCATCTAATTACTGAGAAATTTAAAACTGGAATTCAAGTTTTCTCTAAGAAAAATTCAGTTCTGTGTTTTGCTCACAAACCATATGCAATTCTTAAAAATCTCAGAACACAGGGCTATTCAACAGGAAAGAGCCTGTGGGATGAAAGGCCTGGAAAGGAACTTTTAATATGAATTAACTTTACCATATCTAAAAATATTTTAGTGTGTATACATTTCTTTCAGCAGAGGCTTAGATTCTGTGGGCTAGTGACTCTCAAAATAATTGCTTCTGCTTCTGCTTCTAGAACAGTCTACGGAGAGCACTTTTTAAAGTTTGATTTAATGATTTGAGCTAAAGTCTTGAGACTAGAATTGCTCTCACACAGGCTCTTACTATTTAGCCTTAGTTAATTCAAACCTCGTTTTACAGATTTTACAATGAAGACACCAAACAGGCCGACGAACAGTGACTTTCTGAAGGCCTTGTGACGAGTTGAGGGCACGGCTTGGAGCAAAGCCGGGGGTTTCTAGTCCTTCATCATGAAAATGGGGAAATGGATGGGATGGAGGGTCAGGATTTCAGTCAGCCTCCTGCCTCTGCTCACTGGACGTTGATCTCAGAGATGGCATTTGATACCTCTGAAACTGCAGTTTCCATATCTGTAATGGGGTGATGCACAACCAATCTGAGTGACACATACAACTCCAGTGTCCACCATGAGTGTGTCAGCAGGGTCAGGGTCCCTGTCACCATCAGTGTGCCAGCAGGTCAGGGTCCATGTCACCATGAGTGTGCCAGCAGGGTTAGGGTCCCTGTCACCATCAGTGTGTCAGCAGGGTTAGGGTCCCTGTCACCATCAGTGTGCCAGCAGGTCAGGGTCTTTTAAGACGTCTGTCCTGCACCTGCAGACTGTCTTCATGTGCTGGGACCGGGTCTTCTCTCTGTGCCCATCTGTGACCTAATCTTCTTTCCTAGGAGAAGAAGAGTCAGGTCAGGTTAGAACTCAGTCTGAGGACCTGTTTCAACTCAGTTGCGTTTGCTTTATTCACTAACTGCGGTGCTGAGGCTCACACTCAGAACCTTGCGCGCGTTTAGCAAGTGTTCCACTGCAGAACCACACCGTCAGACCTTAGTGCAATTACTCTTTCAAACCCCTCTCTGTGTGCAGTCACACTGGAGGTGCTGAGGATTTCAATACATGGATTCTTTTGAGACACATCTCAGCCATATCTCTTGATAATTAAAAAATCTCTGATTTGTTATAATTCACTATAATTATATAACAGTACCGAATTACATGCTAGGAAAGATCTGATATTTGCCATGGCGCTGAGGGTACACCAAGGAGGAAGTGATTACTCCATCATCCTGCACACACTGTGGCATCCCTGGTGCTTCAATCCCGAAGTGAAGCAAATGTCTACAGTAGCTTGGAGATGGGCGGATGAGGGTTGCGGTGTTGTGTGGCCGTCCTTTGTGATAGCTTGATGTTGTAAAAGTATGCTATTGTTAGGTATATA